CATTGGTAATGTCTGACTGGACCTCGTGTCACTTTATGTTCAACAAATTGGGCCCCGAGGTCAGAAAAGTTAAGAACCTCTGAATTAATATGAAAACATTTCAATCCGATCAAAGAATTTAGCTCATGTAAACATGGCTGCTGATTTTTTTTCTCTCCTGCAGGTCTGACACAGTTCCGTAGCCCCCAGGCCCAAGACCGGATTCTTTCCAGTGGACTTGCCCCACTTCGTTACCTTGATGATCAGGGTTGCCCCACAGAAGAGTACCCTCTGAACCCTAACGGCTCCCCTCAGGGTGTCGCAGGCTTGTGCTCTCAGGATGGCCGGCACCTGGCCATGATGCCCCACCCTGAGCGCTGCACCCTGYGCTGGCAGTGGCCCTGGGCTCCAACAACACTCCGGCCTTCTCTCACACCTTCACCTTGGCTGCGCATGTTCAGGAACGCAGCTGCCTGGTGCAGCAACACAAATTAAAACTACAGGACGGTTCAGGATGCTGGAGTTGTCAAAGTGTGCAAGTTTTATCTGATACACCTTTTTACTGACTGTGGCATTTTCTCTTCATACATTAATGTAATGTGTACTTGTTTCTGACACAGCTAAAACATGATGAAAAGCAGACTTTGCTCACATTTCATAATTTACAAAACTACAGGACACCAATCAGGAATGCTAACTGTATCAGTTGTACCGTTGAAACTAAACTAATAAATCAATAAATGCACGTGCTGTGTGACATGATTGGRAGCCATGCAGGAAATAAATACAGTTTATTTTAACCAATAGAACAGAAGCTCATATAATATATACAGACAAAGGTCAGTAATAACAGAACAGTTTGAAACTTATCAGGCAACAGAACACAAACAGTGAGCTGAGAACCAGGTCCAAGTTATTTCCATCAAGACAGGTTTTCCTGTGAACAGGTTTTTAAAGACATCGCAACATTTACAGCTCAGGAACATGGAGATTTGTAACGACAGCTGGACTACCATCATTTGTCATTTTAGATATCATGTAAGCTCTGTAAACACTTGACAAATCAGCCTGGAGTCCACAGTCTGAGAGTATGGTGWACCGTTTATAAAGTTACACAATCAGAAATTACCACCAATATTTTTGTTTTATTTAACCTTTTATAAGAAAAAAACATTTATTTTTCAAAGTCAGTTTTTCACCATATAATTCATACATTTATATGTGTCATAGTTTATAAACTA